TTGGTGGCAGTAATAATAGGGGCAGGGGAAGCCTATGCAATTAGAACCTTCGTAAGTGCTCATGATACACTTGGCACTAATTAACAATTCAGAATCACTAATGTGTATAAATACAAAATTTTCACATGTAGATGTTTAACACAAGTTGGAAGGAAGCTTGCACCATGGATTTAATAAAACCAAATTAGAATCTATATGTGCATCAACTAAGGAATGGTTAAATAAAATGTGGTATATCCATAAAATGGAATATTATTCAGCCATAAAAAGGATGAATTACTGATACATCTAAAACAAAGATGACTCTTGCAACATTATGCTAAGTGAAAAAAAGCTAGTCACAAAAGACTACATATTGAATTATCTAATTAATATGCAATGTTCAGAGTAGGCACATCTGCAGACACCAAATTGGTTAGTGATTGCCTAGACTCAGAGGCCTGGGAGCTGAAGGAAAAGGGGGAGGGGCTGCTAATGGGCACAGGTTTCTTTGGGGGTGATGGTAGTGCTTTAAACGTGATTGTGGTGATGGTTGCATAATTCTCTAGACATACTCAAACCCCCTGTAGGATATACTTTGTCATGGGTGATTTGGTATGGCTTATGGATTTTATCTCAATGAAACTGTTATATTAAAAATTAAAAACTAAAATTCAGGGATATATATTTAACCTCAACTCCAATGTTCTCAAACATAAGCAAACATCAGCATCAGCTGGAAAATGTGTTTGAACACAGATGGTGGACCTCATCCTATGGCTTGTGAGTCAGTAGTTCTGGGGCAGGGCCTGAGAGTTTGCATATCTAAGTTCCCAGGTGACCCTGATGCTATACTTTGCAAACCACTGCTCAGACACTGCCAACTTCTGAAGCAAGAAAAGCACTTGCCCACAAATGAAGCAGTACTTCCCACCTGTTTCTACACGGCCTGTGGATGTGCACAGGCTGATGCCTGAGAGGATACAAGAACGTGCAGGGTATCAGAGGCCTGCCAAATCAAACAACATTGTAGGAAGAAATGAAGCTCAGCTAGCCTCGCTGTTCACTAAGGAGGAGTTGGGCTTTGGCAGTTGTTTATGAACAGCTGTGGACAACGCTGTGGAATCCGTAGTCCCTATAACTGGAAGAACAAACTAAACTGCAGGGAACATGTTCTCCTCACGGACTCACGAGGGAAGCCCCACTTCTCTCACACATCCCTTTTCTTTCAGGTAAGGGGTGAAGGCATGTCTGCCTTGCAGGCTTATTTGAACCTTTATTTGATAAACATATTCCTATTCTTAGCGTGAGCTTAAAAGAACAGCAGGTACTTTATCTCTCTCCCTCATCTTTCCTACTTTTCTGTGTCATGGTTCCAAACCTACCTGCTATATGACTTTGACCTTAATTTCTCTAGGCCTTAATTTTCTTATCTACACAATGCGTGTATGATACTGCTTCTGGGGACTGTGGAGAAACTTAAATGAGACGGAGAATGCCTGGTGCTTACAAGAGTGCCTGGCTCATAGCAGTTCTCAATATAGTAGCTTCTGGTTCTCCAGATCAGAGAGCTGCCATCCTGTTGTTTAACACTCACCTAGCATAGCTGTACCCCCACCCCCAACCTTATGTGCCTGCAAACATCACCAGTGGGTATTTCTGATCATCTGAAGAAAGTAGATATGTTCTCTAGTTCAGTGTGACTGTAACGTGTTATCTCTTGCTCTGTCAAGAGACTTGTGTGTAGGTTACCTCTTACTATAATGTAGCTGTTTCTCTTTGAACTTAAGTGCTTTGCCCAAGGTGCCAGGGTGTAACCTGAAAGACAGGAAGCCCTTTAGCAATTAATGTCTGAGCTGGCCTCTTTGTTGGGGCCACAGAGTCCCTGAAAAACAGGTTAGCAATGGTCGAGGAAGTGTTTGATAGGGTTCTTAGCCACAAATAAACACACCTTAGTATGTTTCAACCCCCCAAAAAATCACTAAAGAATACTAGTGTCCTTGCTGGTTTGGCTCAGTAAATAGAGCATCGGCCTGCGGACTGAAGGGTCCAGGGTTCGATTCCGGTCAAGGGCACATGCCCGGGTTGCAGGCTTGATCCCCAGTGTGGGGCATGCAGGAGGCAGCCGATCAGTGATTCTGTCGTATCACTGATGTTTCTCTCTCTTTCCCTCTCTGAAATCAATAAAAGAATATATTTTTTTTAAAAAAGAAAAGAATAATGGGAAGCTCCCAGAATCTCAGCACAGGCAAAGAATCAGAGTTGAAGGCTACACAGCCAGGAACAATACCCCAAATATACTGTGGAACCTTCAGTAAAGAGCCTCCAGCCACTGCTGCCCATAGGCACCTTAGCTCACTGCTCACAGTCCACCTGGCGCTGCGGTTCTGAGCTTTGCCAAGGCTGATCGTACAAGCAGAATATTTCATTGTCACCCTCATTGTCTTTATTTCACACCACACTGCCTCCTCGGTGTCACTGCTCTTCAGGTCAGCATATACAGAATAACTTATTTGTCCAAGGTCACTCAACCAGATCTGAGTTTACCCCATCTGAGTCTAAGGCCTGTGTTCACCCCTGCACCACACTGCCTCCCTAAAGAAGAAAAATCTCTCTGGGCCGCTTTATCTGCCACCAAGGTTTGTATTTGTTTGAATAGTTATTTGAGAGATGGAATAATAAGTTACAATTAGAATCCCACCAAATAGCCTTTGTGGTCGCTGACATGATTAACATACCTTACCTAAAACTTGGGAAGTTCTTGATTTATAGGGTAGGGAAGCAGTCCTTGGAAAGCTATTGTTTTCATAAAGTCCCAAACTAGGTTTTGTTGCAGATAAATATCTAGATGGTGCTCTTCCTGTGAACATTGTGGAGCAGAGCCAGTGCTCAGAGTGGGAGGGACAGTGAGTGGAAGGCAAAGGCCACGCACACTTGGCTGCTGTCACCAATGGTTGGCATGTGCTATTCTTTGTCCTGCTGCCCAGAAGTCGCTGTCTTGACATTTTTGTTGACTTTTGCTTTAGCATTTGCTGTCTTCAACATCTTTTCTTGTGTCCTGTGCATTCAGGCGTTATTAATCTCTCTGTCCATGTAAGCCAGGAAGTCTTTTCTAAGAAGTAGCCTTGGGGCCTTCATGACTATTCAGAGATGTTCTTTTTTCTAAGACTTCAATATTTAAACTGTTGGAGTCATTAAACATTGTCTGAGTGAACTGAAGATGAAAAATGGTATTCTTTCTGGGCAAAAATGTATTTATTTTTTTCTGGCTGGAAACACTTATACTACTCAAATTCATGCAAATTATAAAAATAGAGGAGGTTCATCTTCAGGAAACAAAAGTCTAGAGTATAAAATATTTTACACTCCAATGGCTACATAGTTTAAAATATGTGCATCATAGTAATCCTGACATTTTGATTAGGCTATATGTATTTAATCTCAAAAGTAAAATTAATTTTCAAAACAGTGATCATAAAATTTGATTATTTATAAATGTCCTAATCATTCAATGTCTCAAAGAAAAAAGAATAGTAAAGAGACTACCATATTTTTAGACCATGCTTTACTTCCTCATAATTTTCTGATAGTTCTTAAGAACCATTGCTCAAGAGGCTTATTTCTTGAAATCAGCAGGTGGTAGACATGTAAAGAACTAGGGGGCCATGGGCCATACTGGATGGTCTTTGTTAACAATGTGATTTATGCTGAGGCCTTTGGGTCAAGGGTATCACCAGACCTCCACAGGCATTGGAGACTAAGGCCAGCCATGAAGTGGTCCTTACATGACCAACCCCAGAAAGAATCCTGGACACCAAAGCTTGGATGAGCTTCCCTGGCTGGCAATCCTCTGTGCATGTTGTTCACATGGCTGATGAGAGAACTAAGCACGGTCTACAGGACTCCACTGGAACCCTCTGGCCCTGCCCTTTGTGCCTTTTCCTATTGTTCATCTTATCTGTATCATGTTGTTGTAATGAACAATAACCATGAGGACAACAGCTCTACTGGGTTCTGAGTCCTCCTAGGGAACTATTGAATCTGAGAGTGGCCTTGGAACCTCCCAGACTTACAACACGTGTGTTCACTGTGTTTATGTGTGTGGGATTCTACTATTTGGCTGACCAATAATTTTCTATAATAAACATATATTGTTGATTTATTAAGAATGTAGAAACATTATATTGTACACTTAAAACTAATATAATATGGAATGTCACCCTGTCATTTTTATAATCAACTTTGTTAAGTGGGAAATGCTAATCTGCAAAGCTGACAAATAATTTTTCAAGAAGTACTCAGGAAATGTAACAAGCAAAATTTCAGAAAAATTATGTAGAATTTGAAAGAATGTTAACTTATATTTAAAAAGCGTAGCTAATGAGCTTGAAATAATGTAACGAAAAGCAGCCATCAGTAGACATAAAGAGAAACTTGCACTACGCCAGTGGCAGAATGAAAGGTCTTCACTCTTCTGGTTTGCTTTATTTATCCTCAGAAGAAACCAAATTAAAAACTAAAACATCTGAAAGGAGCTAGATGACCTCTTCTTAGTTTCTACAAGACTGAAACAAGTCTTAGATCTCTCTCTCATTGTACTTTTTCTATTACCACCATCCTACAAATGTGTCCTTGTCTTTTTTTTTCTACCCTCCCTATACTTTAAAAATGATCCAAGTTATAACCTTGTTATAGCTATGTTTGTCACATACACCCATTCTCAGATGACTTCTGTGAACATGGTGAGAGAGAACAGAGAATCCCACATAACTGAGTTCAAAAGTAGATGCATTCAGAGACAGAAGGCAGGAGTTACTAGGGGCTGGGAGGGAGGATGGAGAGTGACTGATTAACGGCTCTAGTTTGGAATGATAAACAACTTCTTCAAATGGATAGTGGTGACAGTTATACAACACTGTGAATGCATTTGATGCCCCTTGAATTGTACACTTAAAAATGGTTAAAAAGGTAAATTTGTTGTATAAATTTTAGCATAGTTAAAAAAAAAATGAGACACACTGTATCAGACATGACCAATTTATTTGGAAAATTAAAATTTGTTTGGCAATGTATATCCAGGGGCAGAGTTTGGAATAATCATTTCATTGGAGGCAATCACATTTTCTAGAGCTAATTGGCCAAGGGGTAGTAACTGAAGCACAACTTTAAAAAATAACTTAGTGTGTGGGGTTACAATCATAAATATTTGCAGAGGAAACAAAACAAGCAACCAGCTTACTAGTACACAACTGAGGCATAAGAAATGCTAATGCTAGTCGTAACCCTTTATTCAATTTAGTTCAGCATACAGTAAGCACCTAATTTGTTCAAGACATTGGGCCAGCTGTCGGGGTTGAAGTGGAAACAGAAAATTCACCAAAATATATAATCCCTGTTTTTAAAAGTTTACAACAGCACATGTACAAATTAGTGTTATGAGGAACAATAACAACAAAAATACCCCCCCCCCAAAAAAAACTGCTCTAAAAACAGGGAGGTGGATAGTTTTACTTCATTGTAGAGATTAACGTCTGAAATTGGGACCCCTGCCCTTAAATTTGGTGGTGTGGGTGAGGCAGGGTACAGCATGCCAAGTACAGAAAACTGGTGCCTACGCATGTCTTGGCAACAGGAAGTGGTCTAGTTCCTCTGCAGCTTTAAATGTGTGAGGGGAAGGGTATTCAAAAGTATATATATTTTTAACCACTCTCATCAAGAGATTGACAGAAAGTGAGGATAAAAAAAAAAAGTTTGAAGAGGCAGGGACATAGACTGCCATTTCATAGTTTTAGTGTAAACTCAACCCCTTGTATATGTATATGTATCTAGTAGCTTGAGTAACACCATCAAATGGGAAAAAAACAACGGCAGCACCGGTTCATTATGGTTTCTCCCATTAGACTGTAAAGCTAGCTTTGACTACTGCCAACGGTGGACATTAGGGTAGATGGAAATTGAAGTCCATATTTTGCACATTAATTAAATTCCATAAACATTCCCTCCTTAACTCAACATAAATGAAGAAGAGGGCTTCATCTCAGGGAAAGATGAAGTCTTTGTAGGCTACCTGATCTAATGATGACTTGGTATGCTATATTTCCTATTTAAAAAAATACAGGATCTTTCTTGAATAATAATTTACTATGCGTGTAACATATACCTCAAAGAGAATTTTAACGGAACATTATAATAATCAAACATCAGCTTCTGCAATTACACAAATTACCTTATTATCACACTTTTGGAACCCTTACAAACACAATATATAACAAGATGTTTTAATTATTCATCATCCTTCTGAAAGTTTGGCTTATATTATCTCAAAGGAAAACTGTCTCATTTTCTCACAGAACTAATTCACCATCAAACTTTAAAAATTATTAAGCAAAAGAAAAAGCTTTCCTGTAAGCATTTACCAATGGAAAATTGCAACGCAAACAGCTGCCAGGCTTTAAGGAAATAATCAACAACTTACAAAACCAGCATCTCATAAAACCAAAACCTCCTTTTGAAGTAGAAAGTTTAATTCTTCTTGCCCTCATAGTAACTGGTAACCAGAACACTCCTCTACCTAGGAACTGTTCTGGTATGTAACACAACATATTTTTTAATATTAATAAATTACTGATGTGGCACAAAGAATAAATATTTTTTTTTAACCAAAGTGACTCAGGACTAGAACAGATACAATAGCACACTAAAATGAGTTAACAGTAAAAATTTAAAAGAATGGAATCTATCCTGGCCTTACATTAACTGAAACTAAAAACCAAAGGATAAAGTATCATTTCAAATCTATATACATCAAGATAGACGCCAGTTATAAAAATGTACTTTAGTTGTAAATGCTAGATTAAGCAAAAGTAATTTTAATGAGTATTCCCCAACTCTAATATTAAAAACATGAAAATAACTTAAATTTTAATGGCAAAAGGTTCCTATTTCCCCCATCTGTTAAAAAGATTGTTTTCCCTTATTAACATACAATGCCCTATTGTTAAGGCACAACTTTTTTTAGGTTAAAATGAAACCATAGATTAGGTTTATTTCGTGAAACAGTTACAAGACAGACTTTTTATAGGCACACACTAAAAATAATTAAATATGTCTGAAATTCAACCAAGATCTAAAATGAAAAATCAGTTTCAATCCAGGGGCAAACAGCACATAACCAAGGTAAGGAGCTTAAATTAGGATAATCCAAACAGTTTCCTGTGTTTAACTTGCTAGAATGTTATCCATAAGGCCATTTCAAGGTGTTATCAAGGAGAGGCAAGCTGGGTATTTTCTTTTCTGAGGAATAGGTTGGCACTCCTGCTTTCTTTTGTGCTTGGGCCACCAGGGATGGTGTCACCTTGAAAGCCTGAGTGAAACCCAATATTTGAACTAAACATCTGAGGCAAGGGCAGAGTTCCTGACCACAGGGGTCAGAGCAGATGTTTGCTTCGCATCCTCCCCCTGCTACCCTTCCCTGAGTATCCTTCCTCTCACCAACAGTTTCCTACCACGGCCCCTCCCCCACTTCCTCTGCCCCAGTTTACACAATCTTGAAAGGGAGCACCCAGCAAACTGGAAGTTTGCACAATTGTTACTTAAACACATAACTCAAAATGCTTATTTCATTTCACTATACAGCTTTAAGCAATTCATTTTAATATTAATAAAAACTAAAATTTGGGGGAGAGGGACAATTGAATACCAAGGACAGAGATGACCTATCTTGTAGGCCCTTGTAATCTCAACTGAAATAAGGATTCAAGTATGAAAACTAATAGAAAAAAGCAAGTTTTCTCAAACAGGCTTACTAGTATATACCCAAACTCTTTTATTTCCTGCATATTCATTCTTTGAAGGATGGGTTGGAAGGTTTGCTTTGTGAAAACTGAAGCATGGATTAGATTTGACAGCACAAAGCTCTGTGATTTTAAGGTGATTTTCCTTTGCTTTATCAGGAGTCTGAAAAGTAATGGTCAGCTAGGATTTCACCAGGATTGATCTCTCACTGGAATCTTTACTGGAGTCTCAGTTCTACTGTAAGATTTCAGCAGTTAATCTTGAGAGAAATAGGTCTATGAAAGAATTCCTTGATAAGGTTTGGGAAGAGTATATTGATTAAGAAAGAAGAGCAGAAACAAAAGGAGAACATTAAGGGGCTGGGGAGATAGGGGATGAGGTAGGAATGAAGAGGCAGAGGAAGGGGAGATGGCTACTGAGGTTATTAATGCCACTGCTTCTTACTGACTGTGATGTGTGAAACTCAATTTTAAGGGAAAATTATCTTCTAAATAAGAGCAATGAGGGATAGGGAAGACCAGGAGATGGGGAGGTGAGTGTCACTAAAAGTAAACTCTAGTTTTTGCTACATTTTAGAAATAATTTATATAATCCTGGGAGATATTACATGACTCACTCATGAAGGTGTTTGGTATGTTCTGGCATACTATTGTCTCACATAAATATCAATACTGTTCTTTATCAGTATTAGTTCTGTAATGTATACTGACTTTTAGACACAACAAAATTAAACTTTCAATAAAAGCACTTAAAAATCATTAGTAACTAGACTACCCAACAAATTATAAAAATAATACATTTAATTGACAGTCAGTATCTTAATTTTTGCACACAAGTCCTTCATAGTCATTATCTACACGCAGATTAATGTAATTAAAAATAAAACCAAGAAATCATGCTTGCTAATATTAACTATTTCCATTAAATCAGAAAGTTTCCACATAATATTGCGGAAAAACAAACTCCAATTCCATTTCTACTATGCTAGTCTTATTTCCCTAAGTATGACAAATTACAATGACACAGATGCTTTTATACCATGATACTCTGGAAATAGCATATGCCTTTGCCATCTCTCCTGAGAAAAAAGGATTCATCTCACAGCTACTAAGTAAAAATATGAGATCTTCAATATTTTGTTCAGCATTCCTAAGTCCTGTTTAAATATCAAGTGTTCCAACACAAAAATTCTTGAATAAATTACACTGAACAAAAACCTATCTACTGAGGCCCAGATTCGTGACCAGTTGCTAGAGATTGGGTTGAAACATGTGCAACATACTAAATTCAATTTCTTAACGAGGAATTAGAGCTTTGGACAATGTAATAACCAAACCTAAAGTTGTATGCACATTCCACAATTGAGGATGTCCACTCTGGTCAATTTTATCTCCAAGATAGGAAATAAATGGAAGGTTGCTTTAATGTTATAAAAGAGGAAGAAAGAAAGAAGAAGGGAGGGAAGGAGGAGGGAGGGAGGGAGGGGGGAGAGAAGGAGGGAGGGAAGAAATCATGAGAAATCCCTCTCTTGATCAGTGTGTTATGGAACACAAGGACAGCAAAGTCACATGAAATAATGGTATTGTTTGCATATATGAAGTTTTCACACATCACAATGAGAGAAATCAGACATCCCAATGATATTTCACAAAGCAAGGTTCCAATTAGTGATACAGTGAATATGCCACAACCTCTCTTCCAACCAGATTTCACATGCTGAATAGAAAAATAATGCTTCAAATATTAACGTCAACCTTCATTATTTTAATCTGAAGGAAGACCACAAAATATCTCAAAATTTACTACTTTGAGTTTGGTAAGGTTAGATCCATTTATTAATGGTAAGAGCAACCATAACTCATTCTCAATGAAAGAATCCCTATATACAAACCTGTCAAATTTTTTTGAAAGTACTTAAACAAAGCTTTTGAAAATAATGAAAGCTAGCTCAATTCATACAGTGTCAAATAACTTTCAATTAATAGAACTGTTTACATTTTTGTAGTGCCTTATAGCATATTTTGTCCCTAATGAAAAAATATACTAAAATGCTAATGCTATCCCTGAAATCTTAATCCCAACCTTACACGTAAAAGACTAAAATGGTAGTCAAGAGGGAATGAATGAAATCATGCACTGTCTACAGGGCAAATGAGAATCAACAGCAAGACGCCAGGAAAGCTGAACCCCTGGGTACAAACACATTTTTCTTTGTAGAAACAAAGCACACACACAAAGTTACAAGCAACCACCACGTATCTATATTCTCTACCTGCTGGTGAACCTGTTATTAAAATTTCAAAGAAAAAAACAATTTAAGCTTATTCTATTTAACCCATAAGAAATATTCCGGAACAGATAAATAGAACATTTGTTGCATATTAATGAACACGTGGCTTCTTGTGCTTTCCATCTGAATTAAGGGTAAAAACCCCAACATACTTTGTTTTTAATGAGATATAAGTAAAAGGTAATATTAAACATCTATAGGAAATCAATCCTTTCTTCAGCCCAATTTTACATGAAAGTACTAACAGTGAAGATTCATGATGTTGTGTGAAAATGGTGACTCATAACAATGAAGACTCAGATATAGATTTTAATTCACGCACGCACACACACACACACACACACACACACCTGCACGCCTTGTGTATGACAACTGTACGAAAATAGTCTCAAAAATAAAGACAATACTTGAGACATGAAGCAACCCATCTCCCCTGATCTTGTATCCTATTACAGGGAAAATAAGTCTCTGATGCTTCATAAATACTTTAAAAAGTTCGGGATGGCCTTAACCATGCATAGTCTCCACCGATCATTTGAAGCCTCCAAATGGAAGAGCTGTCAGCTATAATCAACTTTGCTTATTTATGTCCCGTCTTCTCTAGATCTGGGAGTTTTTTGACCAGAGCTTGGTGGTTCATTCGGATGCTAGCCAGGAGCCCCCCGTCAATGCCGTCGGAACCAGTGTAACTGATTTCTTCACCACTCAGGGTAGTCATATGTCCCCCGAGGCTTTTAAGATGGCATTGCCAGCACATATATCCCACTTTTTGATGTATGTCACATGAATGTATACATCAGCTTTTTCTTGATTCTTATCAGGCACATCCAAAAGCGCTAAAACTTTATAACCTAAAAGATAAACAGAATTTAGGTTACTGTTGGAAAGATTTAAGAAAAGTAGCTTACTTTTTTGAGCGCACTGTGAAAAACAACAGCACAGGGTGTGCAGGAGCTCTCTGTACTACCTTTGCAACTGCCAAGTCTAAAATTATTTCAAAATAGGTGTTTGGGTTATTTTTTTGTTTTTTTTTAACAAAGTAACAGTACAGACATTAAACCCAAATGAACAAAAAATATACTGCAAAGTAACCTAAGTTATTCTCAAGTATAACCAAATATATGTCTAAAATTTTTAAATGTTCACCTACTTTGTGGTTGATTTCTATGAAATAATACATTCAGTACATATCATTTTCTATGGAATATTATACTCAAACTAAACACCCATAGGTTTCACCTGAATACCTAGAAAGGCTAAATTTGAAAGAGGAGAATACAAAATAACACACTATCTTATGTCCTCTTTGTAATGAGGCAGAGTCTAAAAATAAAATAATAAGACAACTGTAGAAGAAACTGGGTCTAGAACCTGGTTTATCCCATTCCTACTGAGTATTTGGCTGTTACCTTTCTTAACTGACCTAACAGAGAGCCTATAAGAAAAGAATAAAGTCATATCAAGAAAAGCAGAAATATATAACTAACAAACTAAAACTACAGGCTTAAAAGTTAATAAGCATTATTTCCCCTTTAGTACTGTGTTGAAAAGGTTTTCAAATACAAATGTTTCTGACAATTATTTGGTATTTATTTGAATTAAAAGACTTTCATTATACTAAACAGTATTTAAAACAAGGGTGGGCAAATGGCCTATGAGCCAAATCCAGGCAATGGCCTATTTTTATATAGACCTCAAGCTATAAGTAATTTTTATATTTTGAAAGGGTAGTTTAAAAAACAAAACAAAAACCAGCATGCAATATAGACCATATGCAGCTCACAGGGCCTAAAATATGTACTACCTTCCAGAAAAAGCCAGTTGACCCCTCACCTATAATAAGGGCAATAATGTAGAATATGCATTAAGCTAGCTGGGTGGGCCCTAGACTCTGGCTCATCCCAGACATGCAAGCTAAAGAGTTCAGGGTTGTTAAAAAATGATCCAGAGATTAGCCATTGTAACAACACTTATAATTTCTGGCATCCTTCTTCCACATGAAGCATCATAATGTACTTGGATCTTTTCTTCTCCTCTCCCTGAGTTAAACTAATAGGAGAACTACTTTGAAATCAGATCATACATAAAACAACCATTACAGTACATCACTGACAGGAAGATGCTTTTGTTACTTGAGGAACAGAAATCACTATTGTGAAATTGTGTTCCTATTGGGAGATATGTCTCTATCAACGAAGCATGTACGACTGAAATCCCACCCTAGAAATAATCAAGCAGGAGACCAGGCCTGTCTTGAAAGTACACTGTCTACTCTCATTTTCTTCCCAAGCATGTGGCAACCAAATCTTTCTCCTGACATAGCCTGGACCATGCTGGGAACACTTTACAGGCATCAAAGGGGAGCAGAAACATACCAGCACCACCAGCCGGGATAATTGTAGTCTGGTTTCCAAAAGTCTGAAGAGCAACCTGTTTGACCATTCCTGAATGGGAGCGAGATACAACAATCCTTGGGGTCTTCTCATTGTAGGAAGAGCGGGCTTTCACATTCGACCCACCATCTACCATTGCCCAAGCTGAAAAGCAAATATAATATCCATTAACAGCACTGGAGTTTTAAAATCCTCAATTCAAAGTACCGAGAGAGACTGAAAAAAATTCTCTTCCACAGTTACTTATATTTTTTTCTAAAACAGAAGCTTTATTTTTTTTTCCTGAGGACAGAGTACTATGTTTATTATTTTTTTACATTAAAATAGGCATGTATTAAGACAAAGCTAAAAAAAGGCCATATAATCCTGCCCAGCCAGAGATAACAACACACACTTGGTTTAAGAACTCCTAAGCTCCAGAGCTCCCTGTGGGGTGGCAGCTGAGACTTCTTCACTGGATCGCACTGCAACTCAACTGCTCCTTGCATCTAAGCCAGCTCCCTTCCTCCCTTCGCAAATGTAAGCCCAAGCCGCCCCTCGTGAACATTCTGCATGCCAACCTCTCTCCAAAGTCTCATTCCTGGAGAACTCAACTCCTGACAACCTATGACATAAGCACAACTAATTACCCTGGATAATTTAAATTTTAAAATTATTAAAGAGGTGAGTTAGGTTTACGTATCTGCTTTGTCAAACAGTATAAAAAAGGTACTAGATTTCAAAAAAGAACAGAAGTTTTTAAGAAGGGGAGACTCCAGAGATGGCTTGAAATGTTTTTCTTGGTTTAGAAGTCTTCTTCACTGTCTACCAAACTATACAAGAAAACAAAACTTACTCAGAATTATCCCAATTAGATTGTTGTTCTATTGGTCACTCACTATGGTATAAAATATAGTCAACCATGGCTAGCAATGAAAGCAGCTGCATTACTACATATTCCTGGCTGCAGAAAAAGAAAAATCAAAAAAATTAAGAGAGTCTGGGTTTCTGAGTTCCCCAAGGATGATGACAGTCTCCTGGACTCTTCTCACACTTCTTTCTAAAAACCCACATAGCAACAAGGAGAGTAAATACAAACTCCCTTAATCAATGCCTATAAGTAGCAGAGAGAGGATAGCTATCAACCCAAATTCATAATAAGGGGAATAAATACCGGAGATAGCTGAATCAGAGCTGCAACTGACCCGTGTGGGGAACATGCAGGAGCTTCACGAAGTGCCAAGAGGTCAGAGGACTTCAGTGGTGACAGAAAGTCAGCCAGGATTTATTCCCAGAAGGAAAAAGTCCTGAAACTTGGTAATAGAGCAATGAGAAGAAGAGGCTTAGAGAAGATATGAAACCAAAAGTGATGCTGTACAACATATTTTAGGGTTTCTCTCGAAAAGAGAGATACTTTGGAAGACAGCAAATAAAACTAAAGAGAAGGAAGGGGTTGAAACAAGATGGGATCGAACAAGAAAGAAGAAAACAGAAGAGATGCCTGACAATAAAGATAATGCCTTCCTCATGCTAACAGAAAAGAGCTCCTGAACTGAGAATTGCCAGCCTCCAAATGATTCCACAGTAGCTGGCCAAATATGAAAAAAATGTAAAACCACAATGTCCATTGAAAAATATTAGAAAACAGAGAATAAAGATTAAAACATTTCAGGCTACTTGAAAATTTATACAAAGCAGAGAAAAACTATAATACAGCATTCCAACATTATTAAAAATAAATAAGCAACAACATTAAAAAAGAGCCCGGCTGGCGTGGCTCAATGGTTGAGCATCAACCCATGAACCAAGAGGTCACTGGTTTGATCCCCAGTCAGGGCACATGCCGGGATTGGGGGCTGGATCCCCAGTAGGGAGCATGCAGGAGGCAGCCAATTGATGTTTCTCTCTCAACAATGTTTCTATCTCTCTATTCTTCTCCCTTCTTCTCTCTCTAAAAAATCAATAAAAACATTTTAAAAATGTTTTTGTTTGCTATGAAACAAACAAAAACTCAAGAAAAGATGAACAAACAATAGAAAGACATAAAATGGGAACTCATAACACAAGAAAAATAAAAGACAAAATCACTGAAGACTCCACACTAAATCAGAATACACAAAGGACAATTGACTTGTCCAAAAGCATAGCAAGCAACGAGACAAGCAAAAAAATTAAACAAATAAAAGGAACGAGAAAGTGACAGATACAGAAGTCAGTGAAAGAAAACAAATATACATTAGGAGTCCCTGAGAAAGAAAAACAAAATAATGAAAGAGAACTAATCTTTAAAATTATGATTCAATGTTCCTGAAATAAAAGACCTAATTGTCCACATTGAGAGACATACTATGTAGACATCTGACCAGAATGCCAAATCTGAATCAGAGGTAGAGCACTGCTCTATTATTAGACTACAAAGATAAAGCTCTTTGGCATTCCAGGCAAAAAAGACCAAGCCCCTTCAAAGGGAAAGAAAATCAATTATCAGCCTTTTTGCCAACAAGAATCAACATGTGCCACACAAATACCACAGCAGTTCAACAATGTCTACATTATCCAAGAAAAAAGGGTATAAGATGGGTGCAATCAATAAATTTAATGAATTTAAGAGGAAACCAATGATAAGAAAAAGATGGAAGAATAAAGATATGTAAATGTTATCTCAGAGTTGCTTGGGGAGGCTCAAAAGATACCATTTAAATCTGAAGAGTTAAATAATAGTGTAGAAAGATAAACAACAAAAAAAAGATATGAATGGTGGGTGGTCAAGAAGAAGGCTAATATAAGCTGACTTAGTTGTTGCTCACAGGAGAGAACCAACAGATAATTCCTAAAGAAAGGGACCATATAATATGAAGGTGTAAAAAAACAAATTTAACCTAAGAAACAATAATTCTAGTTTGAACCACACTGAATATATAAAAATCCATGAGATCCTAAGTATATATAAAAAAAGGAAAAAGCCTGCTCTTTTCCCACCTGAAAATAACATTTGTTCTCACTGCAGGGAGTTTTCACCCTAACTCCTTAATTGAAAACTGGTATAGGAAAAGAGTTATACGCTTATCTTGTAAGAACAATATTTCAAGACAAATTAATAACTTCAGTTGATGGAGAAATTTCCCTTATAGAAAAATTCTAGCTATTATATGTAGTTAAAAAGTTAGAAAATCCCATTTTCATTTTTAATAGATCATAAAATTATTATGTGAAAAGTTGAATATGACTCACATCCTGGATGGCACAGAGCAGGACAACATGAGAGTTCATCACACTACCCAGAAGGGAGAGCAATTTAAAATGTATGAATTGTTTATTTCTAGAACTCTCCATTTAATATTTTTAGACCATGGTTGATCTCAGGTAACTGAACCACAGAAAATAAAACTGCAATAAGAGGAGACTACTGTATATAAAAATTTGTTACAATTTTATATTTGAAATTATTCTTAATAAAATTTTTTTAAAAGAAAACATTTAAAAAGATAGAGAAGAAAAAAATAAAAATCCTCTAAATTTTTTTTAAAAAATGATCCAAAAATATGATTTTACTAAGAAGTGAATTTACAATGCTGTATCTCTAGAGGTCAGTATTGTGTAAGAGAATTAAGATAGCATTATCTCAGTAGATAGTACCAGAATTATTTTATTTATTTATTCTTTAATCCTCACCTGAGGATATTTTTCCACTTATTTTAGAGAGTGGAAGAGAGAGGGAAAGACAGACAGAAATATTGATGTGGGAGAAACACATCGATTGGTTGCCTCCTGCACATGCCCTGACCAGGGCCCCCGCCGGGAAGGAGCCTGCAACCGAGGTATGTGCCCTTGACTGGAATCGAACCTGGAACCTTTCGGTTCACAGGCCAACATTCTATCCGCTGAGCCAAACCAGCTAGGGCATACCAGAATAATTTTAGATAAAAATTACTAATTTAGTATTTTTAAAAATATATTTCATGTTACATAAATTCAATACATTGTCATAACACTTCTATGAACAAAATTATTTCAATCACCTTAAAAAACACAGTAGGTACTTAAATACTAATGATTGATGATGATGAGGTAATGGTGAAAAGGTAAAATAACAGCTTACAGAATGTGTTTATTCTCTCTGTAAGATATGCTTTTAAAAAGTCCAACAAAAATAACATGTGCTCTGATCAGGAATTGAACTGAGCCACACTGGCCAGGGCTACAACTTATTTTTAATAGCTACAATTTTCACCGCATGGATATACTACACTTATACATTTATACATTACTTTATTAAAATACTACTCAAGTATCTCTTGCTTCTAAGAATTTCAAATTCAATGAATTAATTCTAATTAAATCCGGTAAGAATTTTCGTCAGCTTTGAAAAAACTGCCGCCAATAATATCTACCTCCCATTTATTATAGTCGTGTTGCTAAATTCTGGTAAACACACTATTTGACAGTTGGTATTCTGCAAACATCAATATACAGTCTGGATCTGAAAATAACAGTCCAAGAATAAGGCACACCAAACAAACCTTTGATCCAGGAATAGTAGGTCAACCTACACCTAATTATGGACTACGGATTATTCTGGGTATCTGCTGACTAGCAAGCACCTTATGTTCCAGAATGCTGGGCAAGAACGCTGTATCACAGAAGAACAGGGCATTTCATTAGTAACTTACAAAGAGTGTTTTGGAACACAACTTATTCCTATAAGTTAGAGATTTTTGGCTTTTTTATTCTAAGGCATTAGATAAGCCTAAGAAATACATATTTTTATAAAATGATTTTTTTTTTCAATGGGCAGTTTCCTATCCCAATTTTTCCCCCTAAAATGAACAGATGTGGAATCTAGGGCCCAAAGAATGTGAATCTATTTGCTTATCTGACATCAATTTCCTCTGCATCCCCTTTATTACAGTTCTAATTCTCTTTGAAGTAGCAGGCTCAGCTTGTAGCTAAGGGTGCCATGTGACACTGGGCCAATGAGATGAAGGAGAGGGCCAAGTTAATACAAAAAATGGCTAGAATAGATCTTTTGTGTATCTTCTTTCCTCTTTTTTCCTGCCTAGCATAGACCCATGGAAACTGGAAGCACTAAACTTCGAGTATAAAATAAAAAGCCATCTTCTAAGAAAAAAGCAAAAACAGAAAAGTCAGCTTAACAGCATTATAAAGCCACTAAACAATCCCTACTCTTTGGCCGTCTCATTAGGTGAGAAAATAAAGCTTGTATTTGTTTAACCACTGTAATCAGATTTACTTTATATGCAGCTAAAGGAAATCCTGCTATAGAAGAGGCAATAAGGGACATTGTCAAAAGAATGAGGGCTTCAAAGACTTAAGCCCTGTCCTGAACTTTAATACACCTATTTTCTTTTTTATTAAAAACATTACTGTCACTATAATTCCTATTTTACATTCTTTCCAGAGTTATTTTAAGGCTGAAGTGATTTTATGTCAATACATTTTATAAACTGAAAATACTAAACAAATGTGAGATATTCAAAAAGAGTAGTTAGCTCTTACAGTAACATTGATAAATGTATGGTTTTCATTGTAAGAGCTGGTAAGCCCCTTTTCCATCTATAAATGACAATAACGTTTTTCCTTATCACATAGTTATCAAAAAGTTGAACTGAGATAGCTTTAAGTATACTACAAACTACTAAATACTATACAAATGTTAGTATTCATGGAATTATAATTATAAAAGTGATGTGCTATACTGATTTGCACAAAATTCCTGGGTTGATTCCTCCTCTAATTTAGCTGGATGAGCTTGAGGAATGTATCAATTTTCTCAGTCTCATTTTTCTCATCTCTAAGTGGGAATACTAATAGTAACTGTATCCCTCACTCACATACTATATTAAGTGTATTAGTACTGCTATTGAGATTTTCAGTGACATCATCCATTTTTTATGTGTTGAGGTTGGCAATGCCCTTAAGCACCATAATATGCCCTTAACCACCACAGGATCAAGTTCATTTCCTGATATGACAACAGATTTTGTTAAGACCACTTCAGGGTGGATCTCAGAATCCACACAGAATCCAACGTGTAAGAGCCCTGGACCTCAGCTACTGGGGCATCCATATAGCTGTATTCCTCAATACACTAAGAATCTCTCATCTTCATTACACATTGTCTATACTCTAAAGAAAGTTTAGACAGCCCTGCTTTGTCATGTATTCTGAGGACCAACAATAAAATCCTTACTGTAGCCAGTGAAGGGGTACAGTAGGGGAGGGGATTGACTCTAATAATTACTGAGCTACAGTTGAGATTCTGACAGGATGGTAAATACTATAGACCAGCGGTTCTCAACCTGTGGGTCTCGAACCGTTTGGGAGTCGAATGACCCTTTCACAGGGGACGCCTAAAACCATCGGAAAACACATATATAATTACATATTATTTTTGTGATTAATCACTATGCTTTAATTATGTTCAATTTGTAACAATGAAAATACATCCTGCATATCAGATATTTACATTACGATTCATAATAGTAGCAAAATTACAGTTATGAAGTAGCAACGAAAATAATTTTATGGTTGGGGGTCACCACAACATGAGGAACTGTATTAAATTTATGGTTGGGGGTCAACACAACATGAGGAACTGTATTAAAGCATTAGGAAGGTTGAGAACCACTGCTATAGACAAATGATATAATAACATTAACTCTTGCTCTAACATATTTCTTACCTGTATATTCAGAAAAAGGCTTATGTATTACTCCTAGGACAGGTTTACCATATACAGCCACACAAACCATAGTAGTGACATACTTTCGAAGATCCTCTGTAAGAAATAAACAAACAAACAAACACAATTGTTAAAGTAACATATAAATTCAGGATAGAATGTTATAGTTTACTTCATTAAAAACGTATGTACATTTTATAAAATGTCTTTCACAGTCAACAATCCCCTCAAAGAGTCTAGAAGTAAGAGCCAGTTTAAGGAAGTAGTTGAGTTTTGGTTTTATAAGCAAATTACCTGGATTATTCCCTGATTACCATTTTATTAGCTGTATTTCTTTGAGCATATTATTTAAATTCAGTTTCCTCATCTGTAAAGTATAGACACTAATTAAGTACTCATCTTTAAATATTAAAATTATTTTTAATTTTAGTGTTAAATTTAAAAAACAACCGTCTCTGCACAGGGATGAGCTCACTACATATTATCACTATTCTATGAGCAGGCCACTCTCAGTTTCAGAAAAACATTTTATGCACAATATTGTTTTATAATTTCAGTTATTATTAGATATACAATATAGTGTATTCTCCCTGTTCTCGAAATAGTTACTTATTGAGTGTCTATTAAGGGTCAAGTTCAGTGCTTAAGCTCTGGAATATCAAGGTGACAAAGCAGAAGCCCCCACATTCAGAGAACTTACCACCTAGAAGGAAGACAAATGTATAAGCAACCGACTTTAAAATATGTACCAAGAGAACAGAGAAAAGGCAAGCATTAGATACCTCTGTAAGAAGCAAGGCATAGGAAAGGATCCATAGAAATGAAATCTGAACTAACACTAGGTAAAAAGAATGAAAATAGGGGTAGGGTGGTAATTCTATTTTGCTAATTATTTGCTCTCTGGGTGACTAGGGTTTACTATTTTGAATTTTAACAGTAGAGGAATATGCAATAAAATCAAAATTCCCACTATCACAGGTAAATATTGTATTCTGACTATATAAATAAATATCTAAATAACACATAACTCAATATATAAGCAAGCACCTCAATAAGTAAGTGCCAAATAGGAACCATTTGTTGTAACTGATAAAACTCCCCTTCACTGAAGAATCAGTGACACAATGAGCCACATCACCAATAAGCCAGTGTGGCTCAATGGTTCAGCATCAACCTTTGATTTAGGAGGTCACAGTTCAATTCCCAGTCAGGGCACATGTCTGGGTTGCAGGATCAATCGCCAATAGGGGGTGTGCAAGAGGCAGCCAATCAATGATTCTCTCTTATCACTGATGTTTCTCTCTCTCTCCCTCTCTGAAATTAATTTTTAAAAAATAATAATATATACATTTATATAAAAAAGAGTATGACATAAATTGGTTGGGGGGGGGGGCATTGAGAATAACAGATCCAGTGCAAATGGGTTATATGACACTGCATTAATCCAGCTCTATGTCTTAAAATCTAATGGAAAAGCTGTCTGAGATTGGAAAAATATCTACTACCATGTACATAATACCTGCTCACATTCTGATTTTCTGATATATAACAACAATCTAAAGTTTGAGATCAATTTTAATTTTAAAATTACCCGTATACTCCTGTGTAGCATCAAGTGGGTCGATCCAGACAGTAACACTTTCTGCTGGTACCTCCTTGGGGGTGGCTATTTCCTTCAGGATGTCCTCAGGAATTTTACGATCCCATAAGATAACCTCCTGATCGGTTGCATCCACATGTTCTTCTGTATTTATCTGCATCAAAAGGAGATAAGTTAAACATTTTTTAGAGTAAGAAAAAAAATCACTACCTAGGAAAGCACAAAAGAGAAAAACCTTTCAGATAAAAATCACATAAATTTAAAGTAGGTAAATCAATATTTTTTTTTATTTCAAGACATTCCATTACAAAATGAAACTATTATTGTAAGAGAAATTACAATATTTTGTCTTCAAGTACTTTCCAATCCAATATTCAAACTTACCTTGTTGTCAAAGAAAGACAAAGACTCCAAATATAGAGAAATACAAAGTAAGCCTCAAAGAAACAAGTGGATACTGTGCTTTCTGACCAGCTCCCTTTCCAGAGTAGATCAATGTGTTTATACTGAATGTGATGCCATGCCTAGACCATTACTACAGAGTCAGTGTTTATAACACTAACAGTGTAAGAGCAAAGTCACAGGGTGAAAACCCACAGCTATCAGCAATCTCTGGAAAGTACCCTGATATTTCCTAAATTGCCATCGAAGAGGTTAAAAATAGTAATATTCCTGAAACTCCAAGCCACATAAATCATAAAATATTTTTAATACAGTGTATAGTAAACATCCAATTCATCCACTCACTTTTTCCTTTGTTGGTTTAGCAAATGTTTACTGATTCTTACTATATACCAGACATGCATGATGTTGATCCATGTGAGACAAACGTCTGTCGTTGTGGAGCTTACATTCTATTGAAGGAGATAAACAATATACAAAATAAATAAATGAGGCATGTGGCATGCTAGAGAAAATAAAATAGGGAAAAACAGGACGTGTGTGTAGGAGAGTAGAAAAGGATTGTTCTTTAAGATAGGGTGGCTAGGATTATTCATTATGGCCCCAAAATGGAAACTACCAAATGTCCATCAACTGATGAATGGATGAGCAAAATATGGTACATCCATACCATAGAACATTATTCAGCCATAAAAAGAAATGAGGTACTGATTCATACCATAGCATGGATAAACCCTAAAACATTATACTAAATGAAAAATAAGACAAAAGAGACTAAATACTGGATGATTCCATTTATGTGAAATGTCTAGAACAGGCATATCTATGGAGATAGATTAGTGGCTGCCTGGGGCAGAGGGTAGAACAGGTAACAGTAAATGGGCACAGGGATATTTTTAGAGTGATGAAATTTTTCTAAAACTGATTAATGACAATGGTTGCACAATTTGGCCTATTCACCAAAAACTACTGAATTGGACATTTGAAATGAGCAAATTATATGATACGTAAAATATGCTGCAATGATGTTGTTAGTTTTTAAAAGACAAGGTAGCTAAGAAAGGCAACACTGAAACGGTGGTATTAGAGTGAAAATCTAAAGGAAGTGAGCCTAGCACACACTCCAGCGCATGGAATAAAAAATGCAACAGCCTGAGGTGAGCGTGTGCCTGGTACATTCAGAATACAGCAAGGAGGCAAGCACGGCTAGAGCAAGTGAGCTAAGAAAGGAGCTAAAGATGAGGTCTGAGGTCAGCCAGTAATGGAAGCCAGATGTGGAAGGACCTTGCAGGAAGGACACAGTCAGTTGTCCTCCATCACAACCACTATTGATAATGTGCAGAGAGTCCTAGCCATTATAGAAAGCTAAAGAAGGGTGAGGGCATAGAAAGCTAAAGAAGGGTGAGGGCATGGGAGAGAACAAAGATTAGAAAAGAAGCAGCAAAATATGTAACTGATATCTGATTAATGAAAAAATTCAAAAAAATTTGTGGCAATATTATAGAACAAAATTAAGTTGCTAGATACAAGGTGAATCATTATCAATCAACTGCATTTTTATATACTAGCAAGAAATATTAAAAATATTTAACATAAAGAAAACCATTTATACTAACAACAGAAATAAATTACCTAGAAATAAATGTACCCAAGATTAGCAAAAACATCAATGCATCTATTCTTGCTGTGGGTTTTCTTTTCTTTTTTTTGCCTCAGTGGTGTGCTGTAAGTTTTCTGCTGGACTCTCAGACTCCCAGAAAGGTACTCTTGTTCATGAGTAACCGCCAAAATCTATGTTCTGTGAGGGAATGTCAGTAGAGAATTCCTGCCATCAAGCAAACATCACTCTACAGTATTTTGTATCACCATGCAAAAACCACAGAATAAACCATGTACAGTATACTAAAAAAAATCTGGTTTAAACCCCCATCTATCCCATATTTGGATTCCTAGAATAGCCTTTGATTGCTCTTGCCTCCTACAGTGTATTCTCGGATTCATTCATTCATTCATCCACTATTTAATGACTACACAAGCTAAATTGTTTTGGGTACTGGGATATAATAATGAACAAAAGAGACAAAAATCACTGCTTTTATGGAGCTTTCCTTCTCAACCCAGCAACCTGCCATCTTCCTAAATGAGACTGATTTTATTACTCCCTACTTAAAACCTTCCAATAATTTCTCATTACACGGAGACAAAATCCAGACTGCTTATCATCTACAAGACAAGGCCTGGTTGATCTGTAACCTTTCTCTATTTGCTCTCTTATTTACTACATCCCAGACTTACTTGTCCCTTGGCCTCAAGGCCTTTGTACTTGCACTCTTTTGCTCATATTCTTTTTCACCAAATCTCTGCATGATGGTCTGCTTATCATTCAGCTCTCAGCTCAAATGACAGTGCCTCAGAGTGGCCTTCCCCAACTACCCATGGCCAAAGCATGATCCCCCAATCACTCTTCCCACATGTTCTTACTTTTATTTCTTCAAAGCCCTTATCAGTATAAGTCACTTACTTGTTACCATGTTAACTATCTATCTTGACCTACTAGAACATAACATCCGTGTGTTCAAAGACACAGTTCCTTCATTACTGTAGCCCCATCTCCACTGCCTTATAAACCAGTGCCTTAATAATAGGTGCTAAATACTTCTTGATTGACAACATTGTCCTTCATTAATGTAGTTTCATTTCTTCTCCACAACCATTCTACTCAATCTACTCTCCCTCCCTCACCTCTACTGCCTATCTCATCCTAGTCCTTAACAGGGAATTGAATAAGAAATCAAGAATCCAAAACACAATTAATGCTATTTACATGACAATTCAGTTACTTTGGGGTTAAAGAGGCTTTTGGTTAATACCTTAAGAAGGTACCATTTACATAAATCATTAAATCTTAATAAATTTTTGAATATATTGTCTCAAGCTGTACCTATGACACAGTAGGAATTCAATAACTATTTTCTAAATGGATAAACACTGCTCTTATTCTCTTCCCTTTTCAGAAGCCTTTTTCTATAAACTACTAGTTCTCAACTATATCCCTATAAATAATTAAACAGGCTCCAGTGACACATCATAAAAACAAACATACAAAAAACAAAACAAAAAAAAACTTCATAGAACCTCCTCTTAGTCCCACATAACACCCTAGCCAAGTTCCTTAGAAGCACAATTTCTTGAAAGACTTGTCTTTACTCGCTATCTCCCATCTTCTTCAATTTGCTTCCTTCCCCATGGAGCCACCAAGCAAACTCTCACAAAGTTCACCACTGACCTACATTCAGAACCATTATTAAGAGTAATAGAGGCCCGATGCACGAAATTCATGCATGGATAGGGTCCCTAGACCTGGCCGATCTGTGGGGCAACTGGCGGGGTGATCAGGGCGGGGTGGGGGGAAGCCCCCAATGACACCCGCCTTGGCCAGCCTGGTGCTGCCTGCTCACCGGCCCCACCACCAGTCACCTCCCTCTGTGGGGTGACCAGCAGGGTGATGGGGGGAGGAGAGGAGGGAGGGAGTATGCCAGCCCACTCACAGGCCAGCCCCACCCCCTGCCACCACCGCCACTGGTCACCTCCTGCTGCAGGGCGACCGGCGGGGTGATTGGGGGCCCCCCACTGGCACCCACCTTGGCTGGCCTGGGGCCTGTGGGTTGGGGACAGCTCCTGCTTTGAGCGTCTGCCCCTGGTGGTCAGTGTGCATAGCTACCGGTCATTCCAATGGTCATTCCGCTGTCCGGTCGATTTGCATATAAGGCTTTTATTATATAGGGTAGGATGTGTTTATCATCAGAATTCCAGCTCCTCAATTTATTGGGAATGTGACTTACCTGACTAGTCAACTAATCTTTCTGAGCTGCAGTTACCAAGTGCTAAAAATGGATGACAAATATATCTCCCTACAGGGTTCTTTGTATGACTTAATGAAATAGAAAAGATAAAACAAACAGTACAGTGCTTAACACAGAGTAAGCATTTAATAAAAGTTGACTGCTACTATTATTAAATAACTAGAGACCCAGTGCATGAAATTTGTGCACTCGGGTTGGGGAGGTCCCTCAGCCTGGCCTGCGCCCTCTCACGGTCCGGGAGCCCTCAGGGGATGTCTGACTGCCGCGGAGGTGGGAGAGGCTCCCACCATCGCTGCTCGGCTAGCCAGCCATGAGCCAGGCTTCTGGCTGAGCAGTGCTCCCCCTGTGGGAGCGCACTGACCACCAGGGGGCAGCTCCTGTGTTGAGCGGGATCAGGCCAATCCCGGCTCTCCCACATCCCCCAAGGTGTTCCGGATTGCGAGAGGGTGCAGACCAGGCCGAGAGATCCCACTACCTGCACAATCAGGGCTGGGGAGGGACGCAGGAGGTTGGTCAGCCAGGGAGGGACCGCAAGAAGGCTCCAGGGCATGTCCAGCCTGTCTCGCTCAGTCCTGATTGGCCGGACCCCAGCAGCAAGCTAACCTACTGGTCGGAGTGTCTGCCCCTAGTGATCAGTGCACCTCGTAGCGACTGGTCAACCGGTCGACTGTCTGACCCCTGGTGGTCAGTGCATGTCATAGTGAGCTTAGCATATCATCAGCATATTAAGCTTTGATTGGTTGAACGGACGACTAGATGACTGGACACTTAGCATATTAGGCTTTTATTATGTAGGATTTTTTCAGTCTTTGTTATCCTTGGTTGTAGGTACTCATCTTTCCCTTTCACACAATATTCTTTCATTAAGCAATCCTGTCCACAGCTGGTT